TTTGCTCCTTTGTCCACTAACCTCTCACCATGCCTCTTCCTACTCCTCAAAGGATTTGCTCGCCGCGCACACTTCACCGCGCATGCGTGTGGGCGGCGTGGGCGCTGAGGCTGTTACAGAGACGCAACCCTGAAGTGCTGGCTTCCCCCAGTTAACTTCTGGGATTACCTTGTCCTTCCTGTTTGATCAAATTACCTGTGTTCTTTTTCTCTTTATGTGAAAGATTAACGCAAGTCTTTGCAGGCTTTCTTGCTCTTCAATAACATCCTGTAAAGCTACAGATGTCTCTCTAAACACCTTTGCAGATGCATCTCACAGCTTTAATATGCAGTATTTCATTCAATTTAAAATATCCTTGCTACTTGTTCTTTATTTGGCAATGAATATTTTTAGTTTTGAAATATATGTATTTTGTGGCTTTAAAAATATGTTTTTATTGCTGGTTTCAAAGTTAATTGTGGTGACATGAGAAAAGAGTATGACGGCCATTCCTGTGGAAACTTGCTTAGTCACATGGAACATGGTCACTTTGCGAATTCTTTCAGCGTGTGTGGAAAGTGCCTGCACTCTCAGGCTGGGAAAAAAAGGACTTCCCAAGAAATAAGATTAGCTAGTCTCAGCAAAGTGTTCCCGAAGGGAATAATATAATCTTTCAGAAATTGTTGAAAAGCATGAGTAAATCTACTATTTTTCTTGATTTTAGAGCTATAGAATATTCACATTCACAGATGCCCAGTGTATACCCTCCTACTTCTTTTCAGAGGGAGCTACAGGGAGCACTGGAGCAGACACTGGCTTTTGTTCACCTCACATCTGTGCTTCCTCAAAATGAGCCCCGGATTTGGCTCAGAAGGTGGGCGCTGACACTTGGTCACAGGCACTGTGGACTTCCCAGTTCCAGGGGGTGGGGGTCATGACTGGTTAATCAAGACTGGTTAAAAAAGTCACCGACTGAAACACTTCCTTGTACTTCAAAAATATGCACCATTATTATGTGACAATTAAAAATTCAACACCACTTTAAGGGACAAGGTTATTTATGCCCACAGGCAGCCCTGGTGTGGTTAGGCGCCTCTGTTCCATCCATAATTGCAATTGTGCTAGGATTAAAAAGTTAGTCTTCAGTGGGAGTGGCTTTTGACCCATTCTTTCTATTTGAGGGCCAGGAACAAGGTCATAATTATCAGAGTGGCTCCATGTGTTCAGTAGGTCAGTTTAATCTACTTACTTTTACTGTAATTGTGTACATATTATATATACAAAACAAAGATACATGATAAATATATATATATTTTTCTACCACTCTCCTTTGTATTTCTAGTAATCATCCTTTTTCTTTCCCTGATCCTTCTTTTCTACCTTCTGTTAGCCTGACTAGTGGTCTCCTGTCATTCTGTCCGCATCCATGGGGTAGGAAAGATTACCCAGGTAACCTGCAGGGTAGGTGAAAATCTTAAACCTT